GGAGGGACTAGTCCTTGGAGAAGGACATCATGCTTGAAACGGTTGGAGGGACAGCGCAGGAGAGAAAGACCCTGGATGAGACGGATTGACACTGGAACTGGGGTAATGAGGGCAAGTGTGTAGGAGACAATGAGACTGGCTCCGGATGGAGCTGTTGTGCAAAGGGTCGCCACAGGAGCCTCAGGTGACTCGAGGGCACATAACAACAGCAAGAACAATGACACAATAGATTCTGGAGAAGATATTTCCTTCTTCCAGAAAAGTATCAACTGGGCGAGAAGGGTGTGGAGTGGCCTCTACGTTCATGGAAACTGCCCTTATGTGAAAAGCCTCTGCTGTTCTAGGGAAGTAAGGCCTAGGAAAGTTACTAAGTCTTTAATCTTATTTAATAAAACTTCCTGAGAAGGGAGTTGGCATGACCTTGAGTGTTTCTACAACGTTCTGGTTGCTCTGGCAATTAGAAAGCTCCATGAGAAGCACGAGAGGGTTCTAATGGCATCTAGACTCACGCCAAGGTTCAAAATGCTGTCAGCTGGCTGGTGCTGCAAATCACACACTTGCTGTGCTTTAAACTCCAAAGTGGATGCTAACTAAAATGTTCATGGTTCACGGTAACCCAGAGAGGATGCAGAAGAAAGGCCTGGTAATCATTTAAAAAAAATCAGCCATTGAAAACCCTGTAGAACACAGTCCCACCACCATGCCACCCACAGAGTCATTATGGGTGAAAATCTGTTGGGTGGCCCCTGGGATCCCCTCTCAGCGCCAAGGAGTGGGGTGATTGAGGATGAGAAGAGTGGCTGGAGACGTGGGCAGGGCTGGACCAAGGCCAGGCCCTGTGGGCAGCTCCAGCCCTGGCTGTCACCTGCTTCCCTCGCTGTGTTTTCTTTGACTGGCTTTGCCAGAAGGGCTGCACTGGGAGTGATGAAGGTTCTGGAAGAGACACTGGAGCCAGCCTAGACTCCCTCAGCCCAGCATCCTAAAGCGCCAGGCAGGGTCTGAAGGGACCACATGGTCCCAGTTCTCAGTCTTCACTTGTAGGTAGTGATGTGGTGGGAATAACAGTGTCTACAGGTTGGTGTTAGAACAACTCCAACCTTGGAAACATAACGCAGTATATCTGCTCTATCCTATAGGGTCTCTGCGAATTGGCATTGACTTTGGTTTGTGAGTTGCCCAATGGAAGTTTCCCCTGTAGGCAAAAGGAGCTCTGATGGCCTAGGCTTTAGCAAGTCACCCTGCTAAGGCTGAGCATCTCCCAAGGTTCAAATCCACCAGTGACTCCTTGGGAGAAAGGTGGACAGTCTTCTGCTAATTATCCCACATTGCCATCAAGTCAGAACTGACGCACAGTGGACCCTTCAGTAGGTTTTTGGAGGCTGTATATTACCTGGGAGGAGATTGCCCATCTTTCTCCCTCAGAGCAGTGGGTGGATTTGAACACCTTGTCTTTGGGTTGGCAGTGCAACTCCCTACCCACTTGGCCACCAGAGCTCTCTCTTAAGGTTTCCAGCAAGTAACCCATGAAAAGCACTGCCTGCTGTAGCAAACAGATGCTGCCCTGGATGCGCTCACCAGGTTGTGCTAAGAAATTTGGAGGACAGCTATCTGGCCAACTGACTGGAAAAGATATGAATTTATTCCAATTCCAAAAAAAAAGGGTGACCCTACAGAGTGTGGAAATTATTGAACAATATCACTAATATCATATGCAAGCAAGATCCTGCTGAAGATTTTCCAAAGATGTACAGACTGGGTTTAGAAGAGGCTGTGACACGAGGGATACCATAGCCAGCGTCAGATGGTTCTTGGCCAGAAGCGGAGAGTACCAGAGGAATGTCTGTCTGTCTTTCATTGACTGTGTGAAGGCATTAGACTGTGTGGACCACAGCAAATTGAGGAAAATGGGAATCCCAGAACACCTGATTGTGCTCATGCAAAACCTATACTTGGACCAGGAAGCAGTAGTGAGAACCGAGTAGGGAAAAAACACTGCATGGTTCAGGATCAGGAAAGGTGTGTGTCAGGGATGTGTCCTGTCTCCATACCTCTTCAGTCTATTATGAGAGATCATTCAGAAGGCTGGACTTTATCAGAAGGAATGTGGCATCATCAGCAACCTACATTATGCAGATGACACAACCCTGCTTGCTGAAACTGAAGATGATCTGAGGTGTTTGCTACAGAACGTCAAGGACTGCAGCTTTTAATATGGATTGAGGCTCAACATCAAGAAGACAAAGATTCTCACCACTGGGCCAACCTTGTAGTTTCATTATAGAGAAAGGATTGAGACTGTTAACAACTTCAGTTTCTTGTCTCCACAATCAACACTCTTGGCAAAAAAAGTCAGGAAATCAAAAGACAAATTGTATTGTCAAAATCTGCTGTCAGGGACTGCTCTACAGGACTGAAGAGCAACGAAGTCAGTCTGGAGTCTAAGGTGTGCCTGATTCAGGGGATTTTCTTTGCAGTTACTTGCTATGCATCAGAGAGCATCCAGTGACTAAGGATGATAGAAGAATCGATGCCTTTGAGTTGTGGTACTGGAGAAGAATATTGAACATACCATGTATTAACTGGAGAACAAACTAGTCAGTCCTGGAGAGGGTGAAACCAAACTGCTCACTGGAGGCAAGGATTTTGAAGCTCTGTCTCACATACTTTGGACACATGGCCTAGAGGGACCATTCTTTGGAGAGGGACATAAAGCTTGGAAGGGTGGAGGGACAGTGTAGGAGAGAAAGACCCAGCATGAGATGAATTGACTCAGTGACTGGAGAAATGAGATTAGGGTGTTGGAGCTGATGAGACTGGCTCAAGATAACCGGGCACCGTTCAGAGCTTTTGAACACAGGGTCACTATGAGTCGCAGGTGACAGGACGGCACAACAAAACAGCAGTAACTGCAACAAACGTGAAAAAAAGGTCACAAAACCCCCACGTAATTCGGACATCTAATAACCCTATTCCTACTCCAAATAACCCTACTCCTACTACTAGTGAGCTCTGGCGGCCTCGTGGTAAGCAGTTGTGCTGCCAACACAAAGGCACATGGTTCAAATCCACCAGCTGCTCTGAGAGAAAAATGGGCAGTCTCCTCCCATGTGATTTATCACCTCTGAGAACCCACTGGTGGGTGAGCTATGGATAGATTCCCACTGGGCAGCATACAACAGTTACAACATAGCCAACACAGAGCTGCCCGTAACAACATAGCCAACGCAGAGCTGCCCATCACGACACAGCCAATGCAGAGCTGCCCCTCGGTTCCCGAGGCTGTGATATTTGTGGAAGTAGGTGGCCACCTCTTTTCTCCCACAGAACAGCTGGGAGGTTTGCACCGTTGACCTTGACGTAGGCTGGCAGCTGAGCTGTTAAGCACTGTGTCCCCGGCACTCCTCCCTGTGGGGAAACTGAGACTCAAAGAGGCAATGTAACTGGCTTAAGACCACCTGCTGCTAAGTGGCTGTCTGGGACCAGGGAGCTCTAGAGGCCTAATGGTAAGAAGCTGTGCTGCAATCCCAAAGGAACCCGGTTCAAATCCACCAGCTTCTCTGTGGGAGAAAGATGGGCATCCTCCTATCTTGTGGTTCACTTCCTCGGATCGGCTATGGGTTGGTTCCAACTCAGTGTCACACAACAACCAGCAGAGGTCACCTGTTCAGAAGTCACCTGTTCTTTCCACGATTATGTGCTTACCTGAGGACCACCTTTTAACTCTGTGGAGCGTTAGGTAAGTAAGTTTACCAGGGATTTGCTTGGATACTCAAACAGCTCTTGTTGTTGTTGTGTACCACTGAGTTGGAACTGACCCATAGCTGACTCTCCAGCATGTTTTCAGAGGCAGTTAATCGCTCTGGGGGAGACTGCCCATCCTCCTCCCATGGAGCAGCTGGTGGATTCGAACCAAGTGCCTTTGGTATTGCAATGCACATTCTTACCACTGGGCTACCAGAGCTACCTATTAATGATGTGACTATCTGGTTAACCATATAATCTGTCTTCCCTGAAGCACCGTAACCCCGCCCGGGGCCGTCTCTCTCCCTCCCTCCCTCTCTCTTTCTCCTCTCTATCTCTCTCCTGTGTTCCCAGCAACATCGTGACACATGACATATAGCCATCAGCCATCTAATTCACTCTTCTCAACTCATTGAGCTAGGAACACACCACTGAGCCCATTTCACAGCTGAAGAAACCGAGACTGAGAGAAGTGAGACCATTTGCCCCCAGGTAAACAACTAACAAATGGTGGAGCTGAGACTCATGTCCCTGTCGCCCATAGCAAGTATAACTTTGGACATTCCTGCTTTAAGATGGATTTGGGAGGCAGGCAGGTGTCTGTAGCATCCAAAGTGGTCAGGAATATTGAGCTTTGAGCAGGACACTGAGGTGATTGTTATTTGCAAAGCACTCTGCCCTTCAAGGCAGCTCTGATGGTTGTGGTAAGAAGCTGAACTGCAATCTCAAAGGTGCCTGGTTCAAATCCACCAGCTGCTCTGTGAGAGAAGGATGGATAGTATCCTCCTGTGTGATTTTCAGGCTCTGAAAACCTCCTGGAGGGTCACCTATGGATCAGTTTTGACTTAATGGCACACAACAACACCAACTTCAAGACAGATTTGGGAAGTCATCAGGTGTCTGTAGCATTGAATGTGGACAGGGCTGGGAACATGTTGAGTTCTGAGCAGGAAAGAACTGATTTTTTGGCAAAGTATTCAATGAGTTCTTGTGGCTTAGAAGTAAGTAAGATGCTGCACTGCAATCCCAAAGGCACACAGTTCAAATCCACCAGCAGCTCCACAGGAGAAGGATGGGCAGTCTCCTCCCTTGCTATTTATAGCCTCTGAAAATCTGCTGAGGGTCAGCTATGAGTCGGTTCTGATTTGATAGCACACAAAGCTGTCCTTAAAGCCACTTTGACTGCAGCCTCTAAGCGCCACTCAGCCCTTCCCAGGCCGCCCCTAACCCTGTCCTGTCTCCTCTGTCTTCTGCCTCAGATCTGGGCTCCGGTCACATCCGTGGCTGCCTCAACATGCCGTTCATGGACTTCCTGACAGAGGAAGGCTTTGAGAAGAGCCCCGAGGAGCTCCGGGCCATGTTCAAGGCCAAGAAAGTGGACCTCACACAGCCCCTCATCGCCACCTGCCGGAAGGGTGTCACCGCCTGCCACATCGCCCTGGCCGCCTACCTCTGTGGCAAGGCCGATGTGGCCATCTACGATGGCTCCTGGTCAGAGTGGTTCCGCCGGGCGCCCGCCGAGACCCGGGTGTCCCAGCGCCGGAGTGAGAAGGCCTGAGCAGCCCCCTTCTGCTCGCCCTCCCTCCTGCCTTCACTCTGGTGACTTTAGTGACCCCACCATGACCTGCAGCTAGTTTATACCTCTCTGGTGAAGGAGAAAAAGGAGTTTTAAAAATAGCTGTGTAAACCCCTCCCTTTCCCCAACAACACTGGAAATAAAGTCTGCATATTCTGGGAATCTGTGTGGCCTGAATGTTGCTGAAGTCCATCCTTGCCCCATACTTCTATCTCCTTCCAGATCCTTTGGCTCTGCCAAGGACAGGAACCCCATGGAGACCTCTAGCAGGGCCCCACAAAAGACACCCCTTTCCACTTAAGGGAGATGCCTGTGTCCCGCATCAGGTGGCCTTCCCCTGCAAGGCATGCTGGGATCCTAGAGGGCAAGCTAGGACGGGGGACTGGAAGGCTGACAGAGACAATGCCAGGGCCTGCCAGGGTGTTGACCCCACCTGCCACAGGCCACATGTGCGAGGGACTAGAGGGCCACTGGCCTTACAGGTGGCTGTCCACAGAGCTCCAACACACCAGAAGGTTCTAGGTCCCCTCCTGCTTTGGGTGCCCTTCCCAGCTCAGAACAAGCCCCTATATGGAGCCTCAAGGGAGGACTTGGGAGCAGCTTCTGCCCTGAGAGAAAGGGCTTTGGGGCCCTGGTGCTGTGAATTACAAAGACAGAGTGAAGGAAGAGTCCACTGCATAGGACTTCGTGGTTGTCCATAAACAGACCTTCTCAACCCCTTTCTTGGGCAGTTTCCTCCTGTAAAGATTTGTATCCAATGGAAACTCATTGGAGGGTTACCACGAGTTGATTGGACTCAATGGTGGTGGGCTTCGGTTTTTCTGGTTTGTCCTGTGGATGTGATCACATTTGGGGGAAGGGTTTTCTTTCATGAAGTCATAGGACTACAGTTGTTGTTATTGTTGTGTACCGTTGAGTCAGTGAGATTGGCACAGGATAGAGCAGGGTTTAGGGCTGTTGTACATAGTGCCGCCAAGAGTCACAGGTGACTAGACAGCACATAACAACAACTGTGGGTGAGCTCTGGTGGCCTAGTGGCAAGAAGCTGCACTACAGTCCCAAAGGTGGTGGTTCGAATCCACCAGATGCTCTGCTGGAGAAGGAGGGGCAATCTCCTCCTGTACCAGTCAGATCTGATTTGACAGTATACACACACACACACACACACACACACACACACACACACACACACACACAATTTCCTAAAAAACAAAACAACAACTGTCAAGTTGGAACCAACTCATAGCTGACCCTCCAGTGGGTTTTCAGAGGCAGTAAATCACTCAGGAGATTTCCCTTCTTTCTCCCACATCTTTCTTGAACTGAGGCAAGCAGAGCTCCTTATTAGTGTAGGGTGTGTTTGAAAGGCAATGTCCTTTGAGATACAGAAAGAGCAGATCAGGGCACGGAAAGTGTGAATGGAGGTCAGATAGGTGCAGATGGGAAGGTCACCAAGCAACCAAGGAACAGAACCTGGAAACAGTCTAGGGCCTTTCCCTGCAGTTGGCAGAGAAGGAAAGCCTCCCCGTAGAGCAGGCATCCCTGAACTGTGATTTCTGGGTCCCTAAACAGTGGGAAAAGAAATCATTGTTGTGGTTAGATGCCATCGGTCAACAGCAACTCATAGAGACTCTACGAACAACAGACATGGACCTTGCCGTCTCCTGTGCCATCCTCATGACCTCTGTCAGGTTCAAGCCCATTGTGATGGTCACTGACTCAATCCTCTTGTTGAGGGTCTTCTCTTTCACTGACCTTCTGCCTTTTCCAGCACAATGCCTCGTCTCTCTCCGAAGACCAGCTCTTTCTGACGATAAGCCCCAAGTGAGTGAAGTTTCATCATCCTTGCTCCGAAGGTTGCGTTAGCTGCCAGCAGTCCTTACAGTTCAGGGTTTACAGCTGTATCTGGCTCTGTGGCCTGCCTTCTTCTCCCTTCTGTAGGTATCTCTCTGTGTCTGTTCTCCACTTTTTATAGCTCAGAGGGGATTAGTTTTAGGATCCTATTCTGGGGGTCTTTGGCTAACAGTCCACCAGCATGTAGGCATGCCAGAATTTTTAAATCCTGTAGGGCCTGAGGGCCAGTGGCCCTCGGACCTGCTTTTAATTGTTTTTGGTCATTCTTCTAGGTGGTATAGCACTGGTCTGTCCATTTGCTGTACAGAGGTAACTCGTGGTTGCTGTGATGCTGAACACTGTGACCCTGATGTGTCAAATGTGATATTGGTTACCCATGGTGGACAGTGTTTGGTGGAGCTCCCTGATTAAAACAAGCTTGGAAATAGGACTGGCATCCATTTCCGAAATAGCTTGCCTTGGGAAACCCTATGAACTTGAAGAAACAAAGAAAGTTATACAAGTGTTCAGGTCTTTCGTTCATAGGGTCACTATGAGTCACCTATAACTTGAGGGCACTTAACAACAATCTGGCATGACCTCAATAGCATAACAAAAGAAAATTGTTTCCAAACACGGGCACATTTACAGGTACAAAGGTTAGAATTTTAACACTTAATTGTGGAAGGGGACACAGTTCACTTTATAATGGTGTTTAGGAAAACAACTTACTGTAAATAACCACCCTTTCCATAGACTCACATGTCCCTGGGAGACCTATGGCAAGGTCCAGACACAGATGCTCCCAGTTTCCATTCTTTGCCCCATAAATGAGTTGCTTGGCTTCACAATGAGTCAGAAACCAAAGGTTTGTGAAGCGGACTTTGGTTCAGCCTCTCTCTTTCCCTGAAGTCCCTGCAATTTGGCCTACATTCACCCCTCTTTAAGAGTCCTTCCTGGATTGTAAAACATATCCAGGAACTGTCTGATTATATCACCTCTTGTCCCATTTCCCCACACCTGGATTTTTAAAAACTTTATTTATGCTGTTGTTGTTGTATACCATTGAGATGGAACTGACCCATAGTTGACCCCCCAGTGGATTTTCAGAGGCAGTTAATCCCACAGGAGGAGACTGACCATCCTTCTCCCATGAGCAGCTGGTGGCCTCGAACCACATGCCTTCAAGATTGCAGTGCAGCTTCTTGCCACTAGGCCACCAGAACTTCGTCTCTGTAAAAGAAATACCTTCCCCCTAACTGTGTGTGCTTGAAGATCTCAGGGCCAGAGCGTCTCCCTGTTGTAGCAGTCCTCTTTCCCCACTATTCTCCTATTTCTTTCCTAACAATTTGGATTTTACCCTTAAATTGTATTTATTTTGTTTTGGGACTAGATACAGCCATGCACATACTAATTCAACAGTTCCCATATGTACAATTTAGTAGATTTAGGCATTAATTGAGAGAAAGATTAGCTGTGCTGCAATCCAAAGGCACGTGGTTCGAATCCACCAGCTATTCTGGATAACAATATGGGCAATCTCCTCACACACAATTAACTGCCTCTGAAAACCCCCCAGAGGGCCAGCAACAGATCATTGCAACTCGACAGTACACAACAGCAGCAACAGACATTAATTCCATCTTCCCCCCCCCTCCTCCCCGCCCCCAGCACCTGTTAAAGTTTATTTGTAAAACAAGGGAAAAGGGTGTCAGTCCAAGAGGAGGCCAGGGGGTTCTTCCTCATCAGAGTCAAACTCAACATTCTCATCTTTCACCCATCCACCTTTTCCATCTGGGATCCATCCAGAGCTTCGGAGGGTGAGGTAACGATCTAGGGCTCGTCTTTTCGTGGGACTCATGGGTGCAGGGGTTGGGACAGTTGCCGACTTCTTGGCCTGAGCATTAGCTTCAGGCTCAGATTCCCTGTTGATCTTCCCACTCCGGAGTTCAACATCTGTACTTCCGGCGACAACACCTGCTGTAATGGGGAGCTCTATGCAGAGTGCTCTGAGTGATAAATCGAGTCTGGGCCAGCAGAGGAGCCTCAGCTTTGGTTTCCTCCCCCAATTCATTCTGTTGTCTTGGATTCTGCTCCATTCTCTTTCCTTGCTGCTTCTTGCCGTAATAATGCTGCAAGCTCGAAAGATGTTTTCTCCCTGGTCGGTGAGCAGTAAGCATGGCGAGGGTGTCAAGTACCGGCTGGTGAGGGCAGATGGAACAAGCAAAACATCCATCTCGTAGCATCAGTGCCTCATCCTCTGGGATATAACTGGCCAGCAAGTCCCCAACTCTTTGTTTTTTAAGTACATTGAGTTGACTCCAGTTGTCTCCTTCCCTCTTGAAAGATATCGTGACAAGGACTCGTAGAACCGACAAATTCAAAGCACAGTATTCGTTACTGCTTTCAGGCCACCGTATCGAGAGGTGGGCCTAATTCCATCTTTTGTGTTGTGTGACTGTTCTCACATTCCTTTTCCGAGTTCCTCTCTCACTAACATAAACTCACTATCCTAAAGTTCTCATCTAATCTTTCGAGTTCCTGTTGTCAGTTTTATCTTATATAGATAGTTCTTAAAAAAAAGGCATAATATTCAAGGCCCTCCTATTTTACTAGTTAAGCTAACTCTTGATCAGTTAATTGGTAAAATGATGATGTGGAAAGAATCTATGCCTCTGAGTTGTGTGTTTGGAGAAGAGTACGAAACATCCCACGGCCAGCCAAGGAACAAACATGTCTTGGAGAAGGTGCGGCCAAGTGCAAGGATGGTGAAACTTTGACTCACACACTTCGGGCAGGTTGTTAGGAGGGGCTGGTTCTTGGAAAAGGACATGGTGCTGGGAAAGTGGAGGGTCAGCATAAGATCCTCAAAAAGATGGGTCAGCACAGTGGCCGTAGCAATGGGCTTGAGTATATCAGAGAAAATGAGCATGGCCCAGGACAGGGCATAGTTCAGCTCAGCTGTCCATACATTTCTGTGAGTCATGGTCTTTCTTGATGACACCTAACAAAACAACAACAAATTGCTCTGTTTCAAGGGATATTTTTATCTAAGGTTTAAAATTCATCTCAGAATTGTGATACATTCACACAATGGAGCAATGATTTTTTTAAAATAAAAATACTAAAAAACAAAAAAAATACTGCAT